AAGGAAGAATTTTTAAATACAGTTAGTCATTACTACAAAAAATGGTCAAAATGACAAAAAAAAATTATAATAATGACAATAATTAAATTTGGCGAATAAAAAAAAAAATGTATACCTAATAATAATAATATGTATAAGATAATATAATATAATGTATAATATAATAATTATAATATAAATATATATAATTAACAAATAATAATGTGATGTATAAAACAATAATTTTTAACCACATTAATGATTATTAAATGGTAATAAATGTAACTAAATAAAATAAATCTAACCCCTTTAAATGCATGATAATTTTATTGAAATATTTTTTTGAGCCCAAGTGCAGTTCGACCATTACCTTTTTTTCAATCCAAGTGCAATTCGACTAAAATAAGTGCAATTCGACCATACACCTTTTTAAGTTAAACGATTCCGTACGATTTTACCTGTTTTTTACTACACGATTGCGTACGAAATTTTAAACGTTGATATCAATTTTCATACCGGTATTGGTGTATACCACATGCCTAGGTTAGGTTAGGTTAGGAACTTAAAAAAGTTAACAAATACTTTATGTTTTATTGTTTTTATTACCTATGTTTATTGTTAATGTTAGGAAATATATCAGATATAACGAAATATCGTCATTACTGTTATATTATACGGTATTTTCCGAATTTCAATAAAAGTATTAGGTTATAGATGTTAAGAAATCCAAATTTAAGCATTTTCAAATAATTTATTATTAATAATTTCATTCAAACAAAAACTGTCCATTTTATTTATTTATTAATTACTTTTATTTTATTTATTCAACCTCATTTTATTTATTATTTTATTATTAATTTTTTTTTATGAATTATTATAGAACTTTTATATTAATTATTTATGTTAATTGTTTATTTCTTTATTTATTAGAACTATTAGTATACAAGTATGTTTATTTGTGTTTGTGTTTATTGTTTATGTCTATTATTTATATTATTTATTGTTTATTTTATTTATTATTTTTGATTTTTGAATTTTTCGTTGATCTTTAAATATTTTTACTATTATTAGTGAAATTAGAAAATTTGACACAACTACATACATATATTTCATATATTTCCGTGTTAATTTATTTACCCACCTTTTTGTTACCCATCTACAAACGCACGCAATCGTGTTGTCATAAAGGACAAACGTTCGCAATCGTGTTCTACCCGGCCAAAAGATTAGGTTTAGAAATAAATGCTGAAAAGACTGATATATGATCGTACGGAGAGGTGAGATATCGGATCGTGTACACCTGTACATAGAGGTTGAATCGTACAAGCTTAAGATAGTACAAGAGTTTAAATATCTGGGATCGATCTTGACAAAAAAAAAAAAAAACGATGAATTAACCGAAATAATAGCAGGACTATAGTCCGATAATACATGTTGCTACGGATTAAATTAGTTGTTAAAAGCAAGAACAATATCGAAGAACCTCAAGAAGTATCGCATTCTCATCCGTTCAGTGGTAATGTACGGGTGTGAAACATGGACATTACGAAAAGTTGTGCAAAATCAAATTTTGATTTTCCAAAGAAAGATATTAAAAAGAATTTTTGAACCATTTTTAGATGAAACCATGGGAGAATAGAAAAAATGAAGAACTTAGACCATTGTATCAAATACCTGATAATATTAAGGAATAAAAAAAAAAGAAACTCCAATAGGCAGGACACAGTTGAAGTGACTTGCATTATGTAAGATAATTTGATCTTAATGGTCGAATAAGAAGAAGAAGAATTATAAGGAATAATCTATTGGAAATTATAAGCTGATGCAACGGTGACGGGGTAAACTATCTGGGATTTCCGTAGATATTTCAACGGCGAGTGTTGGTAAACAGATATAAACGGTAAAATAATTTCCACCGACTGTAGCAGCGATGAACATTAATAACCAAATTCTAGCGAGGAACAGCAAGGAGGGGAGGAAGCATTGATTCGGAAACGAAAAGATCCGTTTGGACGATAAAAATTAATACCTCTACGCAACCGGAAATGGATAAATAATCCAAAATGTCGCGTTCGCGAGTGCACATTTAGTGTCGTATATCATTTTCTCGAGATTCGAAATCCGCGACAAGACGAGTAACACGGAACAATCGACGAAGCGATAAGGCCGTGATATTACGTTTTACAATAATTAAGGCAATACTAATAACTGTTCTTGAGAAGCAATGACGATAGTGGTTTGCAGTGGCGCACTGATTTATCACATTCCTGTTGGCAAAACGATATCGCAGGAACATAAATTACTGTACGCGACAAAATTCGGAGAACATCGAATATACACGTTATACACATCGAGTACACGTGCATACACGTTGCTTTTACATATTTGTCGGAGTGACAGTGAACATTTTTTAAATTTCTCAATTTTTCGTATTACGCACAAAATTTTAAATTAATATTTGTAGCCATCCCTGTAACATTGAGGTAGTTAAAGATGAGCCTATATATTCTGAACAATGGCTTAAACGTATTATGGAAATTATGTTATTATTTTTGTATTTAGTAAAAATCGATTGTACAATGTTTGTATACGTAAGCAATTGTTTTGTGATCGAATACGGGTTTTACTACGCATTTTCGAATCTCGTAGTAGGTAGATACGTACTTTATTTTTATGTAGTACGCAAAATGTGTAACAGTAACTACAATTTTAGGCCCTGGGATAAAGGATATGCAGAACTGTAGGGATCGAGAGGTGATGTATTTGACGTGCAAGTCACTACGTATCGCAATATATATCCTCGTCGTATTATTGTTATGTGATTTTGGTTCTTCGCGAGATCATTGCTGCATTGAAATATCGTTCTAACATTCAACAAAACACATACAATTTTATTTTTGTGAGTTTAAATAATAATCGCTCGGATAAATTATATTCAAAGTACGCGTTGCGGTAGACTTTAGTTTCGCTATCCATTGCTAATTTTTTCGTAATGTTCAATTAAGTTACAATCCCATTGTTTCACTATTCAAAAATCAAAAGTTCACCTTATATATAGTTTGTTTAGTAAAAAAATAAAAAAATAAAATCGGTGTGTCGAATATCATTTGCATTTCTTGAATCTTCTTCCGTTCCACATGAAATAATCGAGAGGAAACAATGATGCACAAATACACAAGCGCGTTTGGAACGAAAATAAAATTATATTTTATATTTTATTTTTTAGCTGATTGTTATCAATGGACATGTAAATTGCATGTATGATCGTCGGTGCACGCAATTACGATATTAACATGTGCAAACGTATGCGACGCGAGGCAAAACGGTGATTTACCGTTCACACCGCAGTCTCCAGTGATCTTCACAGAATTATGATTGTTTAAGGCATACGAGTATATATTTTACTGCGAATCCGGGTCTTATTGATTGACGGTGAAGTCAGGATATAATAACGTTGTACGAAGTTATGTGCGAGAATGTACAAATACAGTAGCGAACACTGGCACTTGATCGAATCAAAAATTCCAAATCTTTCATCACGTTGCGTGTTTAGTACACTACATGGTTTACACACCATACACACTGGCATTGCATCGCGTTGGATATTATACATTTATAAGGTTCAGTGTATTTAAATCTTGCTGTAATACAATGTTGCATCAGATTTACACGAACTTTTATAGTACATATAAGCGTAAACTGGTAGGAGGCAATTGCCTCCCCCCCCCTATAATAAATTAGGAGGAGCAGTACCCCCTCTGATATTTAACATATATTGTTTTAAATAAGTACAAAACAGCTGGTTATAGCTATAACTATACAATTTTTTTTTTAAATCTTAATTTTCAATTTTCTCTTTTCTAACATAATGTTAGAAAATGAATAATTTTATATAATAATATGTAGGTAGTTAAGTGGCAATTAACATTCTCCCCGGTGGGCCGCTGTACTATTTTATAGTTGTTTTTTTTATGCGAGCTAAAAAAAAAAAGAGTGAAAAAACGAAAAAATCAACTATCCACCAGGAGCTTACTATTGTTTGATATCCGTTGTGGGCCCGGGGCCATGGTCTCCTCTGCCCTCCTTAATTCGGGCTTAAATATAGTTCATTATTATTAAAATGAAAAGTCTAATAAGTATGAAACATAATTATTTATATAATTGTATACAATGAATTATTGATTATTTTAATTGGTCTAACAAATATAATAGAAGTTACAATATGAGATCATTAATATGAGTATAATTTTTTTGTTACATTGGTTATTTAGGGTAATTTTAGGTACTCACAATTATTATAATTAATTACTTACACAGCACTTTTATTCAATATTTTATTATTTCTGCTATATTAACGTATTATATAAATATTATTCACATAAAGGTAAACTGTATTGATAGTTATGTTATCACGTATAAAATCAAAACTATAGTTTTGTGATTACGTTTAAAATGTAATATAAATAGTATGTTGTTGATTATACAGAAGGTTTTTAAGAAATATTCAGCACCAATTCGGTTTGTGATTTAAATATAACGACATGCCTTGTAAAAACTATTAATGTTGCAAATAAATTGGAGCGGATTATCTCTTGAAGATTATAGGTTAAATCAGAATTGCATAAACTATATAGATAGAAGTAAGTAACTATTAAATTAATATTTAGGTAATATGTATACCTATATCTTACAAACAACAATTAATATTTCAAATGTCATGGTTTTATGGATTAAGTAAACAGTTTTACAATTTTATTATATACCTACTCAAATTTAGCGGCTAATTCAATGATTAGTTTAAATAAATCATAACATTGCTGTCGGATTCTAAGTAGTCATTATAATTTATTATAAAACGCATCAGTTTTATCATTATGTGCACTTTGGTTCAGACGGTCAAAATTATGTTTATTGTGATTAAAATTTTGTTTTAACATCTTATGAAATAGTATTATATCTTTTATTGTTGAATTAGTTGTAAATGTAATTTTTCGTATTATTTATAATATTATAAATATTAACTATTTTCTATGCTTATTCTTTTTGGTTGGAGTATTATTCCACCTTTGATTGTTTAACGAAGCATTAAACTGTTTCGGACTACCAACTTTTGGTCTATTGCTGTTTGTTGTAGGTCGATATGTAAGCCTAGCTTCATTCATTATATTTCTACAGTAATTTTCGTATATTTCTTTGTCTTTAGTTTGATCCGTATCACCGCATAACCATAATTCTGAACTGTAAATAATGGAACGTAATATTGACAGCATTCGTGATATGAACTTAAAGTTGTCGGCAGGTTTTATGGGTCCACTCTGGAAAGCAAAACTCCTATAACTTCTGATGCTTTTTTTAATGTTGATAAAGCCTTTTTCCAGTGAAGTATAATATGCCGTTTGACTAGTAAATACGCAATTGATTCTTTCATTTTTTATCAAATATGTGGTTACATCACCGGGATACAACAGGTTACTACCGATATCTTTCAACAATCTATGGATAGACAAAAAAAAAAAAAATAATTAATAATTTTGCAGGAATTTCTGTAAATAATTTTCCAAATTTTATAATCCTTTTGGTAATTTTAAATCAATTAGCATCATATTAATACATCAAATGAACTATAAACGATTCAAGTATACATTTAACCAATGGTATTATTAGAGTTATTATTAAAATAGGTGTTCATAAGTTTAAGTACAACAGTGCAAGTAAAATTTAAATATAATTACTTTTCTTTGAACGATGGATATCGAGCATTTACTTTATCGACCATATCGTTCGTCCAATTACTCTTTTTTGACTGTTCCAGGTCGACGAACAGCAGGATATCGCTCTTACCTTCAATTTTTAATAAATCTTTTGGTGTAATAAATGATTTCAACAATGGCGGCGGTATGTGATTGAACACCTGAATAATTTATCCTTTAAGGATAAAATAATAACTTCGAAATATTTGGTAATCTCTAATACTTACTTTAGATGGGATGCACACTGTTATAGATATCCGGGATCCAGCGAAGATACTTGCAATAAGCTCTTTAACCTTCATCCAATCTAGACCGTCCAACCCACAACAGATTTTTGGAATCCCCAACTTGGTTAAATTCATCTGTTTCATTTTTACCAATAGAGATCTTAGGGCTACTGATAACGTTTGCATTGTTGGTTTTCCGCCACTAGATTTTTTTGTTATCATGTAAAAAGCGGTCTCATTACGATCGTTGACAATCACACCAACATCGCCTACGGTCAGATTTTGATCAAACAATTGTCCAATACCACCGAAATGTTGTCTAGAAAGCAATCAAAATCAGTACTAATTTGATCAAGAGCATATGCATGATATTTGTACTTGAATCCCACAGCGATTCCAGCCCTCATCCGCAAATCCTCGGCAACACAATGAGCAACAGGAATTTCTCCGGGCAGGTTGAAAAGATTTTCATCTATTTCTTTCAAATAACTTGAAAATGTTTAAAAATTATTTTTAATTTATCGAAGATAATTTTATTGATGATATTATTGTATGTATGAAACATTTTGTACTCTCCGGGGAAGCAACGAACCCAGACGATAAAAGCAAACCGTTTTGAAGAATAATATTACGCACATTCACTTTAACTTTTATAGTTTAAATGAATTACAATTATAATAGTCTATAGATAGTTACAATTATCAAAAATATTTCTTAAATTATAATATAGTACTTAGTCTGAAATGTAATCTGTTATTGCTGTTCTATTTCACTAAGACTATAAATATGTGATTATCATTAGTAATCATATATACCAAATTCTATCTTCTAATGTAGGTTCTTTTTTGATTGTATCAACTTTCGGTATAATTGTTTTGCACACGTTTGCATAACTTATGGGTTTTTTATTGTAATCACCAATATTCTGTTCATCGGGTACATTTTCATTCGAAAATTGACTCCTATTATATTTCGAAATTGTATTACTTGTTGCATGTTTAATTAACAACATTATTAATAATTTCATAAATATTCTTAACGCTAAGTATAAATATCACATAAATTTTTTATACATTTACAACATAGCTAACTATTTTTCAAAATAGTAAGATTTAGTTATTAAAATCCTAACTATTTTATAAATATGTAAACTGAATAACAGAACTTTTGAACTTATTTATTTATTATCTTATCATATTTTAAGGATAAAGAAAATACTAATATCCTATGACTGTATTAAATTATTTTCTTTTTTCGTATACCTAAACAAATTAAATTATAATTAATAATATTAATTAATAAAAATAAAATTATATAAACAATGGGTACATATGCCATAACAATTACGTATTTAGGGAATAATAAAACCAAAAAGTATTTAAGAAAAACAAATGATAAATTTATTAAAATTAAAGTTCCACTTTCCGTGATCGCATTGTATATAATTTAGTTATATTATCACATATAAATATGAATTTTATTTAATTATCAAAACAATTACAAAATACGTACCCATTTTCAGGTGTTTCGGTGCAAGTTTCCTGTTTTACATTTATTGTTTTTTTAACTGCATCTTCAGTACTTATAATTTCCAATGGTATTTTAACTTGGCTTCCAGTCTGAGTTCTAAATAATAAATATGTTTAAAGTTATTAAATTTTAAAAATTATTGAATGCATCTTATTTTTTTCTAGTAGTGTATTTTATTTTATTTATAATTATTATTTTCAACGAGGATTAGATAAAAATTTAAAACTCATTGTTTAATTAATCCATAAATTAAAATAAGATAATACATGACTCATGAATTAATTAAATTATTTTAAAATACTTTTGAATAAGTTGCGTGGACTTTACGGATGCTCTAGGTACATCATGTTTTTCTTTTTTTCCACCTAATATGGAGTGATCTTGTTTTTTTAACAAAATATTATTATTCATCTTCTTTTTTTCTTTCAATTCAGACTGATTTATTTTATTAACGTTAGCTCTAAGTAATAATAAAGAAATTATTAATTTAGTATAAAATTATTTATACAAAATTAAATTATTCATTAACTGGAAAGAAGCAACGAATTTCTTACATTTATTTATAAAAAAATCTAATATATGTATTATTTTTAATTAGATAAAATAATATTAATACAGAATATCAATGAGTTATAAATATTATTAGTACTCTACTAAAATAATTCTAAAATTGAAAACTTATAAATTATTCATGTTATCTCACTAATTTTTAAGTAAAAGTGTTTTTAAAAATTTTAAGACATTAAAAATAACGTTTTCTTTACTATAACGACTAACGACAATTGCATACATTGATATTAATAATAAATTTAATATCATTAAATTAAATTTTTAAAATTCCCTTAAATCATACTTAAAATTGAATTAAATGTATATTTTAGATTATAACTTCAGTGAAATGTATTATTAACTATATATATACATATGATATATTTCTATTTAAATTATAATTTGTATGTACCCATATTTAAGTAATATTTTGCCTTCAATTTTAGCTTGAGTTGAATTTTTCTTCAAAGGTTCATTCTTATTTTTTTCACAAATTGTAGGCATTACATCATTTCTATTGAAATGTTTTGAGTTTGTAAGATATTTAAAATTTAATGCAATGAAAATATTTAAAATTAATATTATTGATTATTTTTACTCTTTCAGTCAAGTATACAAGTTAAATATTTCACCTATTAATATTTCTAGTATTTAAGAATATTGCATACAATTTAAAATTAAGTATCTGAAGGTTATATCAAAAGAAAAATATTAATGGTACTTCTAAAGTGAATTAATTAATACTTATACATTTTTTGTTCTTTATTGTTGAGTTTCGTTCTTTTTTTCTAAAGACACACTCCCAAAAAAGAAAATATTTCTAAGTTTAACTTTGCTGAATAGGAAAATTATAGTATGTACATTATGATTATGTAAACATTATATAATATTTATTGATTAAAGTCAAATTTTAGGGTTTAAATACGTTAAATTTACTTAAACATTTCAAGTTTTGTATGATTATAAAATGAATTGTGTAATATCATACGTTATTAAAGTTCTCTAAGTACAAATAAAAATGGTGTACTGCAATAAACTAATAAACTAATCAACAACTAAATAATGATTTACTTTTTTGTTCGTTTGCCTTTATTAATTTTGTTCATTGAATTATTCATGCTTGAAAATTCAAAAATTGGTCTATCTGAATCTAAAAAAAAAATGATTACGCTATAACGCTGTTGTTTTTTTTTTTCGTCTCCTCTAAGTTAATTTCAATCTATGTAATAAATTTAATTAGTATCCGGTGTATTTACTTTCTTAGGTATATGTTTAAAATGTACTTAAATATTGTACTTAAATACCAGTATTTATATCATATAATATTGATTACGTAACAAATGACTGTGTTATATACTTGTACTTATATATGTATTGAAAAATCGATAAAAATGATTATGCAAATAAATAATATAACTCGATGTAACGTAAAAATGTATTGCACGTTAGCGTTTAGATAACCAAAAAAAATGAAAAGAAACATTTTTGGCACATCAGTTTTGCAATACGATAAAACGGTACATATTTACGTTACAAAACGAGATAACGAAATTATTTAGGATGGATTTACAATATTTTGGGAGAGTTTAAGCATTTCACTATAATCGTGTTCAATATGGCTCCTGTACGTGCACATATTTTTTCGTATACAATTTCCACGATATTCATCCCCTCCCCTTCTTTAATATCTCTACGTCGTACAGTGACGGACTGAGGCCCTGGAGGCCTGGGTCGGTAACGTATTTTTGAACCCTAACTTAAGTGTCCTAAATAAGTGCTGAGGCACTAGTGTCCGAATCCGGTTAGATTCTGTAGTGTGCTAACTTTCCCTAACTTATTTAGGGCGATAACAAGATTGTCTGACGCAGTTTAATTTTTTGCTCAGGTGAATAACAAAAAGAGAGATCGACAAATCGGAGAACAACCAACTTCAATTTCTAGAAGTAAAAAAGTAGGTCTGTTTTTAGGTTCAAAGAGAGTACAAGCAGACAAACGTACTGAAAATGTCACATCAAACGAAAAAATAAAAATAAACCATAAGCCATATATTGACGATAATTAATCTAATACATAATCGCATTGACGTACTACCGCAAAAAAAGTAAATAAATACACTAGCCACACGAATATTTAAAATTGTGCACCCTAAAAATAAGTTAGGGAACATAGTGAATACGCCGCACTACAGAGTATAACCGGATTCGGGCACTAGCGGTCCAGCTCGGTTAGGATTTGGAAATACGCGGGCCGGTACGAGTTTTACGAACTAAAAAACGAGTGACTCATGTTAGGAACAACAAACATAGCTCGAGACCCGAGCGTTAAGATTTCCGGAGGGCCCGGGCGGGCATACCGTGCGCGCGACCACGGAGACCATGGACACGTTTCCACCAAAAGTGTATTTTTCCCTTTTCCACCAATATCCGTTTCCACCAAATGAGATAGAATACCTATACTTTTCATGAGTTTTTCGGATTGATGTAAGATGTATATAAATATACACACAATATGATCAATGTATATTGCACGTTTATCGTATTTAATTGTATATTAAACCGTTATCGTGCTCATCTTTTATGTCGATTAACCATGATAATATCTAAATAATCAAATATTTTATGAACAAGTGAAACGGTTGTACAGTTTAAATAGTGTATTACAATTGCGTGTGTTTGAATAAAATGTAATTTTTAAAATTTATAATTCTATGATTGCTAAAGTTATTGAAAGTAAACGTGGAAACAATACTCTACTACTAAACAACTTAAATGTTTTTATTGGATCAACTAACAAATTTAATGAAAACATTCGTTGGCGATGTATTAAAAAAAGTTGTTTCGCAAAAGTGTATACTGATAATAAAAATGAAATATTATGAAATATTATGTAATGCCTTTACATTTATTGAATTAATAGTATATGTTAAATACAATTATTACTGTATTATAGCTCTTAATTTAAGCGTAGTGTGTATATGTTTTGGTAAAAACGTGGTCAATATCTCATTTGGTGAAAACGGATATTGGTGGAAAAGGGAAAGATACACTTTTGGTGGAAACGGGTATTGGTGGAAAAAGGAGGGGTCTACTGTTGGTGGAAACGGGCATCGCCTCACGAAACGGCGCGCTGTCCCGTTCGATTCGCGCGTAGTCCAAGAAACAGTCTCGGTCTGCTGACGACCATGTGTCGCCGATTTGACGGTACTCGACCCGATCACTGGACGTAACTTAATATATTATTAACAATTAAAAGACTGTTTATTTAATTTTAGACAGTGTAATTTAAAAAAAACTTCCCAACGAGTAAGAGCGGCCCACATCCCGGTATCCCGACTGCCCTGTCCGGCTCTGTCCGTGCACGGACCCAAACAAAACCGTAGTGCGTGGGACGATGCATGTTAAAGCGAACACGGGACGCGGTTGCGGCTGAACAACACTGTTGCCTCGGCCAAAAGCGACTGCCTGTACGCGCGTGCCCTCGTGACAGATGTACTTACGCGATGCAACGACAGTGGTCACCACAATCGAACACGTTCGAATTGAATGCGCTTCCGGGTTTGCGTTGTTCCAGTATCCGCTGACAAGTCGAAATGCGTTTTCCAAATCGGTCGTTTCGATTAGAAACAATCCGTATCCACGATACCGTGCAGCGCGACGTGTTTGTTTCGAAACGTTTTTCGACCAGCACGAGGCGACGAGATTGAAAACGATTTATTTTATTTCACGTTACGGATTGTACCGATCGCAACATCCGCTGCGACCGGTTCGGTTCTCGTTCTTGGTCGATTAAACCCAGCTGAATACGACGGTTGCAAACATAGGCGCAACTAGGGGAGCGCAATATGGTTTTTAGCAACCCCCAGGTACAAATGTACCAGTGCACTTTTGGTTTTTTTTTTTTTTTTAACCTGTATAATCTATAGTAATGACAGTTAAATACCTTTTAAATTTAATTTTCAGCGATTTTAGCACCCACAAAATTTGGGCTCTAGTTGCCCATGGTCGTAACATAGATTTCGTCCTTGCCGATTTTCACGCGATAGTTATGGGACGCGCGTCTCCACTGAAACATGTTATCATCGAATCCTGCGCATGAAAAAGACACCGCCATGACGGATGACACTATTTCGCCTCCGTGGCTGCCGGTGCAATACCAACCCGGACCGTAGCTCCTTAGCCCGGATGACGAAAGTTTTATATTGCGTTCCGATTGCGGTCCCGCGCCGCAAGTTCGTGCATCAAACCTTCGATTGACCTTCGATATCCTTCCGAGTCGTTGCTCTTCGAACCTCGAGGCGGGACCACGTTTCAATAAGCGTTTGAACGCGAAAAAACATCGTTCAGATGTCGGAAAAATTATTTTGAAAACTCGAATCTGTCCAATAATTTTTATTTGTTTAATAATATACTAGATCGACTATACCATCATGATATCCTTGTGACTCGTAAAAGCGGCGAGTTTTTCCGCGAATTGTTCCGCAAATGCATTATGCGCGCACGCGTAAGCATTATATTTTAATGGGAATAAATACTCACCGGAAAAAATTTTAAATTGCCAATTCAGAATAAGGAGGGGTAAACGATAAAGAGAGTAGTAATAGGTTAAGAACAGTATGGTAGCAGTTGTAATTTTAGTCTTCGTACGGCAAGCGGAATAGAAACTATAATAATAATAATATGTATTTTTTTTTCGTTTTCAAATACTGTCGTTACACACGTTAACAGCGATGCAGGCTTCACAGAGAACCAAAAAAATAAATGTTTCGAATGTTTGACATACGAATGATGTATTCCATATTGTACGAGTGCGCGTATAGCCGATTTTTCGAAGGTATGCTGCAGCACGACGTTGTTTATTTTAATATACCGACAGAAGTTAAAATAGAACTCGTAGTGCTTAGCGAAATATGATGCGAGTTGACGCGCGTACAACACGTATTTTAGCGAATAATACCACGTCCTATTACGTTGTGAAGATGATACTGTATCCGCATGTTACGCGGGAAAGGTTCGATGGTACACAGGATCGAAAACAGTAATGGCGGCGCTAAGGTATTTTACAGGCCCAAAGGTCGGATCTTGCAACGAACGAGTATACATGTATTGACTGTAAACACGAAAAATACAATATGGGACACGAATTGGGGTCGTGGGCTGTCTAATGATACAATATTACACTACCTAATATCTCTTATTGTTCTTAATAGCGTATTTTCGTCATTCATCGGTGAACAACTATAAGTTTTTTTTTTTTTTTTACTTAAACGATAATATTATTGTGTTTGAGGTCAAACAAATGCCGAGTGACAAGGTCAGATATATATTTAATTTAGGCTTTAACCCTACTTTACTCGGTCCGGTCACGGTCACTGGACAACCGCAGTAGACCGACTTAACAATGTGTTTTTATTTTTTATAACTATTACTTATTAAATATATACCCATATTTACATTTGTGCTAATTTTATAAGCTGGTAAAGCTCGGCAAACGATTTGAAATATTTA